ACGTTTTTGTTTTTTGCAAGAGGTGGACAACGTGGGAGTTGTGGGAAGTGTTGATGTGGTGGTGCTGCTGATCTCGGTCATGGAAGATGAAGAAATCTCTTCTGATCCGACATTCATCAATGTAATAGTGGAAGAAGGATCAAGAGTTGGAGGTACTTGGGATGGCTGAAGAGCAGAGGAGGTGTTCCTACCACTGTGGTCTAACTCAAGTTGGAAGCTTTGTTCACAATTGGTGAATGATGGTTCATGAATGGAAAACCAGCAACCTTCATCTTGAACAAAACAAGTATCATTCATCATCAGGTCGTGATTCTGAGGTTGGACTTTTGAACCAACTTGATCTTGAAAATCTAGATTGAGAGTCGGATCGATATTTCTGCTCGAGTTGATGGGATCAATGTCATGAGGTGGAGAGACCGAGTATTTGGAAGTAGTTGTTATGTATCTGAAAGCGTTCTTGGTTTGGGTACTCGAAGAATGGAGTTGGGAATGGTCGTCCTCGTTTGTCATTGTGGATGTTGTTAGAGGGTAATAGTTATTGTCTGGATTGCTGAGATGAAAGAGAGGACCACCATTGAGAGAGTGGGTTGGAGAGGGTTGAGTGGATGTTGTTAGGGTGCGTGGAGATGTTGTCGTCGTTTGAAATGTTAGGCTCATGAGGTTCATATCATATGAACCATGTGGATGATGTTGAGGAGGTTGTTGTTGTGGTTGTTGTTGATACTTCTCCGCAAGTAACTTTTCATAGGACATACAAAAGTCTTTATGATCAAGTTTTAGCATGAGAAGTCTAGGAGTTTCACCAGTCGTGGCTGTTGTCATCATCTTTATGGTCTTCCCCAATAGCAATGGAATGGATTGTTGTAGTTGTTAAAGCAAATGCGTGGTTTTAATACAATAGGGACGGAAGGTATCGTTTGTTGGTGATTGTTTTCAGCGAATAGATTGGAAAAGTTATAGTAGGTTGCAAAGTAATGTTCGTGGTAGTAGTAGGAAAGTGTCGCAAACTATACTTTGAAAGGTGAGATTTTGGCGAAGGCTCGCTGTTGAAGATGAGACTCGAGAGAATGTGGTTGAATGGTTTTTTGTTTGAGATTTTAATCTTGCCATGAACCTTGATGATGCTTGGCTCTGCTACCTTTTCATTCCAGTCACACAAATTCAACCACAATCCCACGAATTTGGAATACTTGTTTGAAATTAGTTTTTATTTTTCAATTTAAAGAATCATGAAAAGAGAGTCGGAGCGGCCGGAAAGGATAAAAGATTCAAGAAAGGATGCTTGTGAAATGTCATTCAAAAAGCCGAACATCATAAGGAAAGTCGAGTATTGTATGAGCTGGTTTCAATGATATTTGTCATGCATGATATATTTGGAAAGTTCGCAATAATTGTACCAATATTCAGACGTTGAAAAGTGAGTTGGAATTTGGTAAAATATTATTGCTTTAGAACTATTTATTGATAAACATGGAAACATGTTAGCAGATATGTTCATCAATAATAACAGTGTTATATCCTATAATGTTAATTAAACTGAGTTCGAAATCAATATTAATATCGGTGTCGAGAATTGATGCAACGTGGTACACCTTTCGTACGTTGACAAACGGCTGAGCTCTATTCTGTGGTTGCATTCTCATGAAATGGGAGATCAATTCTTTGGTTTCCTTTCTGCTGAACAACACGTGATAGCGTCAAAGTTTACACAGCAAATCTTACAAATGTCAGTCCCACAACAATGGATGCAATGAAATTTGCTGCAATCAAAAGTAAAGAAACACTGTTGATGATGACCTCAAACATTAATCTGAAATATCAACTTTTCGAAAAATCTTGAATCTTTCACCCCTTACTTACACATAAACTTGAAGAAATAAATAGTAGATAGTTCCACCAAGCATCAATGTCAGGAAAGGCAAACTCAAAAAGATGGGGGTGTAGTTTTCAGTAAAATTACCCAACGAATCTTTTTTGTGGGTGATCGTATTATATTTCATGGCGGACATCATAAGGCTTGCGACACTTACTCAATCGGAGGTTGGCAAAAATGATAACGGCATAACAAATCCAACCAATAAATTCCAAGGCTAATGCATAGGAAGGGTATAACAATATGGACCCCTTCACGATTAGAGTAATGAATGAAACGATCACTACAAAATAGGACCACACGGTGTTTGATAATACAACCAGCTGAAAGGGCAAAGATGTCAACATTTTTTTTGAACTGCGTCTGAATTGACGATGGCGCCAATTTTGTCTACAAAAACATCCAATTCAAAATTATTATTATTCATATTTAATTATTATTTAATGAGAACGATTGTAGAACTTAGAGGAGTTTTCGGAGCTTTTCTTTCAGAGCTTCATTCACAGAATTATGTTCCAAATAAGAAAGTAATCCTTCAAGAACTGCATCGGCATTTTCTGAGCACAAACAAGCAACGTCTTGTTTGACCTTTTCACGTCTAATATTGGCAATAGATTGCTGCACAGTTTGGCTGTTGGATTCAACCCAAGAAAGGAATTCCTTATCATTATTCCACAATTTCTCATTGTTGATGACTTTTTCTCTCAAGATTTGTCTCTTGACACTAATCTTATTTTGAGCAACACAATCGCTCAATTGGTTCAACAATGAGAATTCAACAAGTTTTCTTCTTAATCTCCAATAAAAGTAGGTTCTGGCATTCTTCCATGATACAATTTCAGTGATGACACCCTTAGCCTTCATTCTTCCTGGAGTGTCGTGAAGATCAGCAAAGCATTCAGCAACTTGAGTATAGATTGGAAGTAATCTTTCGACTCTCTTCTCCATCTTCAATTTGATTTGATCTTTTTCTTGAAGTGAAATTTCAGGACTACCTAATTCTCTGCTGAGTCTAATATATTCTTCATCCAAACGTTGAATTGTGGCAACAATTTCTTGTTTTCTGTACTTAATTTCAACGATACCCGAAGCTTCCAAAATACCACCCTTTGATTTTTCGTCAGCAAACATTTCCATAACCTCATTGTTGATCATTGGATCTACAACAACCCACGCACCTCCTCTCAATTCTCCATGTGGAGGAATATAAACGAACACAGGTTGTTTGTATTGAGTTAGAGCATCGACAATGTAGGAACCAAACTTGAGAATTTCATCAAACATATCTCTTTGGCCTCCCGAAAAACCTCTCCAGTTAGCAAATATCATGAGTGGTAATTGTTCTCCCTTGTTGAAATCATTGATAGCTTGAGCAGTCTTGAATGCTGAATCTGGATACCAAACTTGGCCAGATTTTTGAACAACACGTTCTCTTGAATTGCTGTCAGCTGGATCTGCTGGAATAACCTGTTCATAGGTCTTTGTATCAACTGCGATAACACCCATTGGAATACCTCCAAGTCTCGCACGAGCAACAATAATATTCTTAGCCCATCCTCCCAAGGTTTCAAAGAACGAGTCCTTGTCAAAGAATCCACTCAAATATGTCTTTTCATCATTATTTTCGACATATTTGCCAACTAACATTTCTCTAAAGTCATAGTGAGATCCTTCAACTGGAACAAAACCAATTTCACGCTCTGGATTATCCAAATTCTTCAAAATTGGAAGAGGAGATCCAATAGTTTTAGGTACATATTGCAACCATTTCATGGCTTGTTGAATAGCACGATAGTCATCAGCAGCAACTAAGTGAGACACACCATTTGGATACATGATTTGAATACCTCCCAATTGTAAGTTGCTTGTATAAACTTCTCTGGAGAGTACTTTGTTCAAGGCACCGGCACCAGTAAGCAGGATTGGAGCTCTTCTGTTCTGAATAATTCTTTGACCAAGTCTGTTCACATAGGCACCAATACCAACACTTCTTGCGGCAATATAGTTGATTGTGAAAACTTCTTCATAGGCACGAGAAGTTTCACCAGCAATCATGCCTGATCCTCTCAAATTTTCAACACCAATACCATTTTCTTTTCCAATGATGTCAATAATCCTCCATCTCTTTTCGCCATTGACTTCAATCAGTGTGGCATTGACAGAGTGAGTCTTTTGAAGCTTTTCATGATCAGATTCAGTTAGGTAAAGATATTTGAATCCCTTTGTGCAGTCGTTTGGATCAGTCCATTCAACCTTGAAGAGTTCTCTGACTTCATCTGCCAAACCAATTCTAGCACCAGAGTTAGCAGCAATATAGAATCTTGGGATCTTCAAATCTCTGGCCATCTCGCTTGCCAATTGGAAGACTTCGTCTTCAATAACTCCAAATGATCCAGATTGGAATGTAATATCGTTTGCAATGAGGATCATATCTCTACCATCTTTGCATTCTGGTGTGTACATGGTTAGCTTCCAAACAACCATACCACAAGTGTTTTTACCAATAGCATCCTTGTTTGGATTTTCCACAAGCTTATGAGTCTCGCTGTTCAAAATATATTCAACCTTTTGTAAGAGAACGGATGGAATTGGTTCTTGAGTTAGCTCATTATATTCTTTCCACATGCCCTGAATTGCTCTTTCGAATAAGTATGGGAAGTCATAAACATATGAGGTTTCATTGTTGTGAGCAATAACTCTCTTTTGATCAACTGTTTGGAGAATTGGGTGTGGAATATTTACATCAAGGCCTTCTAATGGCTTTTTTTCGCCAACAACGGTCTTGTAAACAGTTCTGCCTGTGTTTTGGTCCTTCTCTTCACGATAAATATCTAATGTGAGATTATAAGCTGTATCATCTCTAGCAATAAATCTGAATGTTTGAGGTTGAGATGTCTTTGAGAATTTTGCAGTAAATCGTACTTCCACTTCGCTGACTCTTAACTTCCACAATCTCTTACCATAAACCTTTTGGAATCTTTCAATAATTTCACCGACCATGTCAGCTTTAACAACAACTTCTGGTAAGAAGTTGACGAAAATATGGTTTGCATAGCTAGGAGCGTAATTCTTGTCAGCCATAGCAATTTCCAATGCATTGATTGATGCAACAACGTATCTTTCAAGTTCTGAAATTTGCAATTCTTCAGGATTTTCCTCAGTGAAAATATCGCCTTGTAATACAAGTGTACGAACAAAGAATCTCTTGTTCAAATAGTCATATCTATTCAAACCAAGTTCCTTCTTCTTTTGGCCATAAAAAACGTGCACAGATGGATCTCTGCAAGGATATGGTTTAACATCATAGTTTGAAAGTTTCTTGAGGAAAAGTTGGAAAGCAAGAGTTGGCTCAATGTGTCTGTACATTGGATCTTCGTTGTAGTTAATTCTTTGTCTGAATGTAAAGTAGAATGGTAATCTTCCTTGAATTTCTACAACCACTGTTACTCTCTTGATTTCATTATATTCAAGTTGCTTGCTATGCTTCTTCATGATAGTTGTAAGAGCAGAAACTAGTTCAGTATCGTTTGGAGTAATGGTTTGATTCCACTTAAGCAACACTTTCAAAATGTTGGTATGATCAGCATCATCATTATTCTCGAAAATCTTCAAAACATCAGGAAGATAGGAATCTACATCGTTGAGAGAGTCAAAATACTCATAACTCCAAAACCAAGGTTATCTTCTGTTTCAGAAAGTGTGTTCAAGGAATCCATAGAAATAGACCCAACAATACCATCAGACTTCAACGATCCAGAATTGGTTGATTTCTCAGTATTCATAAAGTTGAATTCTACGGTCTTAAATTTACCATGGGATGCAGACCTCACAATATTGATATCAAAAGTACAGTATGCTTTTCTGATATAAACCTCTGCAGCCAAATCAGCAATTCTTTCATTTGGATCAGAGAAGAACTCGAGAAGTATGTCAAAACTGTAGTTAGATTTAACAATCAACTCCTTCAAGCAAGCTAACTTTTGTTGTTGGTCAGTTGCTTCAAGCCCATCCTTAAGATATCCTTCCATTTCATCCTTCATTCTCTTCTTTGAAGGCAATCTGCTTGTTGTTAGGATGTGTTTAGCTGCAACAGCAACATCACTGTATTCAGGAGCAACAAATGCTGCAAGTTCATCAAGAATTGGAGTGAACTCTTTAACCATGTCGAGATCTTCAATAACTTCCAAAAGAGAACGAATAACTTTGTTCTTGCTTCTTAGTCTGCAATGTGAAAGTCCAATTTGGTAAGTCTTGGTGAGGTTGTCGCTATGCTTTTCTCTCAAGTCAAACCATACAGCCTCCTTTCTCTTTCCTCCCTTAGTGTCAAAGCCTTTTTCAGTTTCCAAATAGCTTTCAAAAAGCTTTGAAAGTACATTGAACGCATGTTGTTTGTATCCAGAGTTGAAAAGATCAAAAATATCATAAACTGGCTTTGCAGCTTGCAAAAATTCATCCTTCTTTCCTCCTTCAAGTCCATTTTCAAAATTCTTGAAGAGAGTAACTAGTTCCTTGATTAAATCTTCGTTGTAAACATCGTGAGTGTGGTCATCATTGTCCTTACAACAGTATTCATCATATTGCTCCTTTCTCTTGAGCAACACATTGTTTACATCCTTAATCAAGGAAATTGGCAAAAATTTTCTTAAAACTGAAATCTTCTCAATCAAAACGTGAATGAGAACATTTCTATCTCCGAGTTTTTTCAAAGAGCTAACAGCTTGGCTCAACTTTTCATTGAAAATAAATGATGGATAGTCATAACCTGCCAACAGATTCTCAATGACTTCCAATGCAGATGCTATCACTCTATTGGGTGGTACTCTAGCAGTTGAAATGCTAGATGGTGGGAATTGCCCTTCAAATGGAAGTGATCGCTTAACTTGAGACTTGTCGTCAAGATCAATCATGGCAATGATGTCTCCTTGATTGACACCTGTACCATCGACAAGACAGTGATTAACTTTACCAGGTAATGGAGCATAAACGGTAACAATCATTTTCATAACCTCCAATTCCGCAACTGGTGTGTTTGGTTTGACATGAGCACCATTTTCAACAAGGTATCTAATAAATTTACCGCTCAATGTTGATCTTAATTGTGAAGGATCAAACTCCTTTGTGAACATGCAAACCTTGCCATCAACCAAAACTCTAAGGCCAGATGGTTCTCAGTTGCATAAGAAACATGGCTTTCGTTGTCAATAATAATTAACAAGCCACTGTCTCTTAGTTCTGAAAATTCTGCTTCTCTAGTTGATCCATTCAAAGCCAAGGTATACTTATTAGGCCCACTTCTAACTCCGTCAACTTGATATTTAACGTTTTCATAAATTAATTCAATAGAGTAATGAACATCTACACAATCAAACGATGGAACTTGACCTCTCTCTACAGCCAAAATCCAATTCTTTGCTCTTTCGGAGACCATTCTGTGAAGTGTGTGCAAAGCACCACAAGTGACAACTAAAAATGTATCTGGTTTTTCCAGTTTAATTTTTCGAGCAATAAGTCCGTCAAGCCAAGCTGTAGTGTATCTATTGTCAATGTAATCGTCAAATTTAAGGAGTGATTGCAAATATTCGGCAGTTGTTCTAATCTCCCCTCTAATAGCAAGTTCTGAGAGAGCTAACAGCATAGTTTTTCTTGCCTCTTCTCTTGTGGCTCCATGGGTGAAAATGTGGCCGAATTGAGAATCGGAAAATGCATGAACAGCACCTTGAGAACGAATAGAAAAATATCCCCAGACATTAGGTGCTGTTCTAAAGTTTAATTCTACCACGCTACCACAAGTTGGTTGGAATCCACTTTCTGGGTTTTCAGCGGTAATACGACAAGCAATAGTGTGTCCGACTGGGGG